TTTATTTATATTTGTTGGTCAATCACAGAGTGTGACAAACAGAATGATAAGATAGTATCTTAATTTAGAGGTTTAATCGATTGGCTTACTAAAATATCCAGTAAATTAGACATTGGGGAAAGAACTCCGTAGAACCATTTAGGCAAGTTTGAGTTAAGGGGTAATGTGCTTAAACGCTGAATTGGAAATCGAGAGGAAGTCTGCTGAATGAGAAGGAAAAGGTTCCAAGCCGACTAGGGTGCGTATTACGCAAAGATAATTACTTCATAAACGAGTTCCTAATGCAATTAGGGAACAATTTATGGCGGTTTTCTCGTCATACTCTATGCTCGTTTCGCCATATTTCTATAATAGATGGAGCTGAGCGTAGCTTGATGAAAGTGCTTAGCAGGCTGCCCTGTTAATTACAGGCATGTAGAGCTCAGTTAACAAACACCAAAATAGCTTTAAAAATCAGCAATCTTATAGCTTGGTTCTAAAAGGTTCCTTCGCAGTTCAAGTTTCATACTTCCTCGCCAAGCTTTTTTTGTTGCCATTGTGAGAAAGGCTCTTAGATAAACGTTTATCGAGGCTATTATAATGGCAGTTTTCACGAGTGCCGCCTCTCAATGGCCACTCAAATTGGCAGCAGCCAACGAAAAACCCAAATTGACTTCAAATACCCAACGAAGGGGATTTTTCATGGAATTTCGCATAGCCTCATAGGGATTGGAAAAGGGACCTTCGCTCTCGTTGCTGCTCAATGCACTCCTCACAACAGAGCACACATACTTGTGGTTCATCTGTAAATCATAATATACGGCTTCAAAGACGGATTCCAGATAAAAAGGCAGCCTGATGGAAATTGAGTTAGAGATGGTCAGTGAAACACGAAAGAAGGAAAATGGTCAGAACCAGAGAAATTGAATCCCTTCCTTGCCCGTTGATTTGCGCATTGATGCGACTCTCATCGGTGCTGCCCTCTTCAACGCTAACGCTCTCTCTGCTAAACGGCTAGAGACTCAGACACGAGACGACGCGAGAGGGGGCGTACCGCGCCAATAGCGCGCCAATGCGCCGCGGGAAGGCCATGCTAGATCGGGGGGCATATCCTTCGATGCGAATTGCGTGTCGGTCCGCACCCTTAGGAGGTCCGCCTGTCTCCCACAAAGTAAGTTTCCCCTTCTTCAACCTTCGCCCTTATTGTGGAATCTTCCTTCAATGGCTGGCTTTACCTGATGACCTTACAGAAAGCGGCTGATGATCCAGCTTCTGTTTTCGTGAAAAGGACCTCTGTCTGGTGAGCCAAGCCTTACACTGTTCCGAAGTTCCTCTTGCTGACAACTTTAACAGATGATAAAACTTAAGATTGGCTGGGTTCAAAAAACTAAAGACTGGCTGGGTTCTACAAGGTCCCTCTGGCCTATCTGAACTGAGCCTACGCGGAGATCTAATATTCACCCATACCCACAATTCAACTTTCAAACGTCTCTACGATTTTTCTATAGAACCTGAAGCGTAATTCTGGATGAGAGTGTACTAAGCCTAGCATTTCATCCTTTTATCTCTATTTAGTATAATTTTTCAAAAAAATAACAAAAATGACAAACGAGCAATGGCAACAACAAACTACACTCCGTTTCCAGCAGCTGCACCTGTCGTAATTACGGACTCAGTCACACACATGACATCCTACATTATCAAGATTACCGAAAAGCACATATGACGATTTTTTTCCAGAAAACCCTGTGTGCCACTAAGCCTCATATACTACACGCAGTGGGAAACAGAGTGTAGTAAAACATCCCAACAACACTAACAACATGTGAACATCGACGATGACATGATTTAAGGCCTGGAAAGGTTTCCAGGCAGCCGTTTAAGTGAGCGCTTAATGTTCACCGTAGGGGTGCGGGAACGGTCTCTTCTCTCCTTTCCTTTTTATGCTTCTTCTGAAATTGTTCAGTTTGTTCAGTTTGTAACACAACCACAGCAACAAAAATCTTGACTATTTTGTTCAATGCACAAAAAATTACCCTCTCTTCCATTGCTTTAGCTTCCCTTGCCGATGCGCCTCGCTTCTTCAGACTGAATGTTATTGAGCGCTCTCCGAACACATCTTCATGTTCGTCAAACTCGCCTTGTTGCTGCAAGCGCGACTTCTTCGACGCTAAGCTCGATGACTCCTAAAAAACTTGTTGATACTTCCAAAACATGCAACAAATTGTTTGTTTGTTTATTTCGTGCTCGAGGTATACCGTCTGCAACCAAAAGCGAACGTTAATGTATTATATTTCAGATCAACTGGAATAAAAAAATTGAACGTGATCAAACGTGTTAGTCTTTTTTGGCCAGAACAACTTTCGCGCCATTCAAACATTCGTACGATTTTGAACGAAAACCAAATGCGCGGCACATCCCGAAAAAGGCGCACAACGCTTGACTCTTCTTGATCCCTTGGAAAATGGACATCACAGATCGAAAACAACCACAAACCTCCTCAACGGCAGTCTCCTTCACGTGTTCGTCCAAGAACCGTCGTGCACCCTCTGCAGAATCGAGCTCATGGAGAACAAATTTCTTCGGTTTGTTTATCAATCTAGCCGTTCTGTAAAAAGTAATTAGTAAAGGAGCAGATTCACGCCAAAAAAGAATGCAATCACCTCTCCGCTTCCCTCTCTAATGTTTTCTCTTCGTAAAGCTGCTTTTGACGCTCACGTCTTTCCAGTTTTCGACGAGCTTTCTCCCTTTCCCTCCTCTTCTTTTGTGGTAGTGTTTCTTCATCGGTCTCACTGTCATCATCACTACTACTGCTGGCAGCACTCCTAATCCTTTTGGAGGTCGTTTCGTTCAAGTCATCAATATCAGGTAACTCAGACTGTTCAATGATTTCTTCATCCTGAAATGAAAACTTTAAAATGGTGTGCAATCAAATCCAAGAGGACGCAGACGGCGCGGTCTATCGCAGGCCAGTGGAGCACCCCTCCAGACCAAGAACGAAGTAAAAACCTGAGTACTTCTCCCCATCAAAACTGACAGTAAGTGAGCGAAACCAGGAAACCCACTTCGGCAATTTTATTGCGTTGACAGGATCGCTAAGCGCTACTGCGAAGGCGCCACGTCCATAACAGAGGAGAAAATGCGTCAAAAGTGACAAACCTTGTATGAATGCGTAAAATCCTACCTCACTAACAGTTGGTGAAAGAAGAAATAAAGGAAACTGATGGGAAAACGTTTCAGTGAACATGATCAAAAGATCCCTACATCAACCTCCACGTATGCACCTAAAAGTGCCCCTAAAAGTGTTGAATCGAACCTAATGTATCAAGGATGAGGATAATGCACTTGCCGTAGATCAATCCCTTTTAGGGATGCGGCACGCATCCTACTTCAGTTGTATTTTCGTATGGCGTTTGAAATGCGACCAACCAGACCTGCGGGGCAGCCCAGTGAACACGCAAGTCATGTTTTTATGCGCATTAACGACATGGAGGGATGGAGGGCTTGCTGGCTCCGACGGCGCCAACCCAGGATTCGAGAGAGCCCTGGACCCGAGTGCGTGGTAAGCATACCCCTCGCCATTAACAAACACTGCGCTCGCGAATCTATGATATTATCTGGTAAACCTGATTTCATTCCTGGGGTGTGTGAGATGCTGACCCGTAGAATTACTTAATATGTTTTATTTGAGAAACAAATAAACACAGATAATAGAGATATGTCCTTATCTGTTGAGTCTGACTTTTCATGACTATGTTGTGAAGCCGTGAACTGATCGATAGTTGGTTCCATCAAAGTCGCCTTATGAAAAAAAAGCGAAATAGACAGGAAGGAAAGCAACCAACTGCCGAGAAATGGAGGACGGAGAGCGAGTTGAAATACCACTAATGTATAACATTTCACCTCTAACGACAAACAAAGCCGAATCGAAAACACCGGAAGATGAAAAAGAGACAAGAAAGCAGGAAGCGGAAGGAAGATTTTGCTTTAGCTTCCTGTTCAATTACGTGGACATTTCGCCCAAACCAAACGCCCAATTTTGAGATGCAACAGAAAAGAAAATCTGAATATTAAAAATAACCTTGTCATCCTGATCGTCATGCATAATCTCCTTAACTTTTCCTGAGCTTTCCTTTCGTTGTATGGCAACGTTTCTCTTGAACAGCTCACAATTTTGATCCACCTGAAGAGTATAGCATCATTTAGAAACTTCAAACCTCTTCAACACGTCAGCTGCAGTGCTTCTGGATAAACTTGATAATGGAAGTAAGAGATGAAGACTTTTAAAAACTAGAAGATCAATCAAAGGTGACCGGGCTGAGTTGCTCAGGGAAGCGGGGTGGAAAATGAAATAACGGCTCGGTAAAGAATCAGAACCTTGAAAGGTTGCGCTACTAAATCCCAGTAAAATAAACCTTGGCGCAATTTCCTACATAACTCTCTTCCTTCTTTCTCTACCTCCAACCCAATTACTTGGGAATAGAGAAAGGTCTGCACGCTTATTCACGCCAGTGCTTCTTCCTCACGACTTCCTCTTGAATCACGGCCCCTGATTGCACATCATACTGTATGGCCCTATACCGACGAGGCGACGAGGTTCCCACTACCGGCGCTCCTAATGTACTCATCGCTTCGACGGGTACTATAGACGAACTGAGTCGATTACTACAAAAACCATGAACATAATAAATAAATAAACAATTGTTGAATTAAGTGCGGCGACAAGACCGCACTTAGCAAGCCAAACAAGTATCAATGAATAAAACTAGAGTCACAAATATACTAAAAAAGGACCAGAATTTACCAGCACACCACAAAACACTTACCTCGAAATCTTCATCGGCGAACAATTTTTTGAAGCGGTCATCTTGAAGAATAACTGCCGCTGTCGAGGCCTGAAAACTGGATTCTCGTTGTTAATTCGCCCCTTGAACAAACAATGCCGACCTTCTTTTTCTCGATCTTCTTCTTCTTTGCTGACTTATTGCCTATACTTTCAGCTGCCGCTTCTGCTTCTGCTCTCAATCGCGCCGCGAGTTCTTTGTTTACCTAAAAATATCGATAGGAACACAAATTTTGCCTCTATGCTTGGCCTCTTGAAGTGACTAAAAGTAGAACTCATGACAATTCACACTCACTTTAGGCTGACTGACTTCCGTCTTGCTGATGATAACTCTATTTTCGCGCTCTTGATGCATAATATCTTGAACCTTGAAACAAACGGGTTATGCAATATTTGGAAAGGAATACAAAATAGTTCTGAAGAAGTCGCGCAATGAAAAAAGACCTACTTTACGGTTCTTATACTTCTCGTAGGCAAATGGTTGCGTGATAAGTTGTGCTTTCTCGTACAGCCTTCCGATCCAGGAAGTACCATGCATATAGGCTCTCAATACAGAGCTTCCAATCAAATGCGAAAGACTCAGTTGGTCTAATTCCTCCTTCGTGACAAACTTGTAATCGTCATATACTGAAAAAAGAGCTTCTTGATGAAGCAAAGATAGGCTCAAGATTTTTTTGTAGTTCAAGCACACACCAGTGGCCGACTGAGTTTCTTCCAATTCCTCCGTCAACGCTTCAAGATAAGAACACCATTTCGGAGCAGTGCCAATAGAAGGAATGAAGAATTGTTGCATACGAGGAGCTTCATTAGCCATAAATATCAGGCCTGAGTATAACAAGACCCAGTTAAAACCCTCGACAAAGTCCTCGAACGAAATACTAGACACATCTCAATGCCTCACCATTAGAGTGGTTTGTCACTTAAACTTCAAAATACATCTATGTGAAACTCGCAAAATTGAGATTTGGAAGAACGTATTACCTGAGTCAGGATACCGACAGAAATCGTTGAGCGCGTGCTCTGTCTCGATGGCAGCAAATGGCTTCCCTTCAATTTCGTTCCATATTTTGAGAACCCGACCATCCATACTTAGCACCAAATTTTCGCTTTCTCTTAAACACATGAACTAAACAATAAACTATGGCAATGCACTTAGCAAGAGATACATATATGAACTCCAAAAGAGAACCCCGCTAACCCATTCAGCCTCCTGTGCAATTGGTTCAGCAACAGTTTCTACGTTGAAATTCGAGGAATCAATAAAGAGCCAAACGAGGCAAATAGGAGAAAAATAAATGAGAAGAAATGTAACACAGAAATGAAAATGAACGTAATAACTGAAAAAGAAATGAGAAAAAATTAAGATGATGATAACTCGCTAAGTCCCGACCGAACCTACAACAGCGCAAAATCGATATTCTTTATAGGCAAGCCGCTTCACCGTCGATCCGTTACTACACGCGTCCGCGTCGCAATCGTCCAACACTTACCTGAACAAATACCATAAGCTCCATCCGAGTTGCGAGAACATTTGATCAGCATTTATCTGATGTGTTTTACTGGAAACAACACACACATCAAGAATACCAAGAATCAGCAGTACGAAGGCCGACATAAAAGAGCTTGAGCGTCCTAACCTGCCCCTGTATCGGTCCACTGCTAACCGCAGAGCATCGCGAAACTTCAAGGAAGAGATTTCTGGCTTCCCGCTAAAAGTCAATAAATTAAATATTGTGGAAAAAGTTTCTCCTGAGAAAGAAGTGAAATCCTGTATGAGCGCGAAGGCGAGTGCAAGAGGCACTCCTTTGCTCGTAGCATGTAGTACAGCTGTATCGCATAGGTGAGGGCGGATGGGAAGTGGGAATAAAACGTTTAAGCGATGTACTTTGTCCACTGCCTTCAGTGCCATCAAAAGAAGAAGCAACTATCGTCGCTGACAAGCTAAAGAGGTCCAACGGTATTCGCTTCACTCTAAGACCTGCACACTTCTTCAATCAAGTCACGCGAATAACTTACTGGAACATTCACCACGTTACTGAAGCGACGTCCGTTAGCTAGAAGAACCAGCTATGATCCCAAAGTATAACCTCATGTTGATCTCCAATCACAAACACACCGGCAGCCTTTCCTAAGACCGCTTTTCGCAAATCAGGGATTGAACAGGGTAGAAATGAAACATTCGTGTACCCTGTCACGTATACATACTAATCTATGCATGAGCAAAGCAACTTTCCAAACCCCTCCTCTGTACTCCTGGAACAAACCTTATTTCATCTGCAAATATTTTTTTTTTTTTTTTTTATTCGGTAGACAATCAAGGCTGCCACTCTTGACTTGTCGCGATGGATCCCATGCCTCCACCTGACATACAGAAAGTTACTGTAAAAGAATGCGATCTTAAACGGTTGAACTTCAACTTGAACCAAAAATGAGCTTAACCCGCCCACACGACGATAACCTGATGTTTGCGGTACTGCAAAACTGACAGCAGTTCAAAGCCGATCCATTAGTCTGAAGAGGAGAGAGCCATTCTCCTAACTCCAAATTCAATCGGTAGACCTCAGAACTTCAAATCCAAATTTAGGAATGCTTTCAGAAAGATAAAACACGTGTAAAAAAATAGGACAATACCTCGCACCAACAAGGAAAAGATCACTTCGCTCGATCGAAAACGCCATATCCCTACCAAATCGTGGCATGCGCATACGAAAATATCTTCCAAACGCTGCATGCATTTCAAGAAAACGATCTTCTTGCAAGAGCACTATCTGAATTCGAGACCATCACAAACTCTCTGACAAATCTGACAAGTTCAAAGCTAGAAGTAGAAATACTATACTTTGGAATAGTCATCACTCAGTGGGATCATCTTGATAACGGCTGCATCGAGACCGCGCTGAAACTTCAGTGAAAGGTTCTCGAGATCGTAGCACTTTAACCATGACTTGTAGCTACCTAAATGGATAGCTCACCTCATTGAGTCAAAGATGATAGACCTAGAATTCCCGCTAGGCTACGATCATAGCTCGCGACGACCTTGCAATATCTTGCAAAACAAATGGACTCCCCTCTAAAGACATGTGTGAACGAAATCAGACTTATTCTCTATTCTTCCCCCTCATATTGTTTTAGTTCGTTGGTTTTTATCCAATCTTACTTCCTCTTTGCGATTGGCTTGCTTCGAGTACGGAATGGGAAATATCGACCAGATGATCGCTGTGATCACAAGCTATGATTAGGCCCTAGTGATATGTAATAAATGCTTCATGATAAGAAAAGTGTTTCAAGCAAGATTAAAAGGAAGTGAAAGAAAAACAACATTGAAGTTTTAATACCCAAAAACAGGATGGTTTCTTGTTAACCCATTGCGTAGCGCTGATTTGACTTCGAGGGCCGAGCGCTCCACTGATGTAGCACGTGATTTAAGATATGTTTGACATTTTCTCATGGTCTAACCTTATAAGAGTATGATGCCAAATCCAAAGAACAACATCGCCGCGGTACGCAATGGTTAAAGAATGCCAAAAAAGACCCAGCTATTTAAGCTGCAAAGTTGTACGGTAGAAAGCAGCTTCTAGCAGAAGTCGAAGTGGGCAAGACTGCCTAATCTGATTTTCATTTATGAACTACCACTCTTACCTGTTGCAAAAACATATCTACCGTCTCGCGAGACATTGACAGTATGACTAACATCAGGCATTTCAAAATCCTGGATGAGCTGCACACGTCGCCGCACATCTGCAAAGGTGAGAATAGGCCGATCGCATTACATACACCACTTCATTAAAAAGATTAACA